GATAGTGTCACTGTTAATTTAAGTTCTGCCACGATTTCCATCTAGATTTACTACCTTTATACAACTATCAGTAGTAGAATAAATAATAAATAACATAAAATAAGCTCCATAAAGACTGACAAATCCACAAAATTTCAAATCAAATTCAAATGTGTCAAATGAATCGTCAAACAGAACTGTCAAGGATCCCCACCCTAGAGTGCTTTTTCCGCCCACCATGCATGAATACATGGATAGCATTATGCTCCTTCCTTAGTCTTCTTATTCAAAGGGTTTTTCCAAATAATGTCTAAACTGACATCGATATTTAGATGAGAATTGGTATCTGGGCGTTTGTTTTTGACATGACAAATTTGATTTTGATGTCAATATGACTCCTAATTGTAGGGGGGTGCCACCTACATGTGTTTTAATTCTATGGTTTTAATTGTTTTGAAGAGTTATAACTTTTCGTCCGTACCTGTATAAAACTACCGAGGAAAAAAATATACATTTCCGTGACTTTTTACAAATGTACGATACCAGTCAAATAACTATCTAGTCGGCATGTTCATTTTTTATCGATGATGACCATGTATTGATTACTTCGATTCTAAATTCTAAATATCTTGGGAACGGTTGAGCTCTTGAATTTTTCGTACCTGCGAAGATCTTGGGATGGATTTAATGCATTCCGAATTAATTTGAGCTGAACTAATGTGTTCTTAGAACGTTTGAATTTAAATTCTGAGAATATACAGGATGTGTGTGCTGGAACCTCTTAGCAAAATGTATATTTAGAACTCCCAAATATACTAGACTGAGTCTTATTTGGTATTCCTAACCCAGAAACGCGATTGTGAGGTTTTTTTCTCGAAAAGAAAATTTTGAAATTTTGGAATTTTTTAGTTTTTAGTTAATTTCTTGATAATATGGCAACATAGGTAGTAGATTAAATTTACAAAAAAGAAAACACAGAAAAGATCCAGCTGTCATCAAAATTTAAGGAAAAAACATATTTTTGGAAATTTTCAAAGTAAAATAACTTTTTTACATTTTTTTTGGACATATTTGAAAAACGGTAGTCCTGAAAATATTTGCACTTATTTAAGATTCACCCTGGTAATCCTGGTATACAGGGTGTTCCTTAGTGACATGCTAATATTTAAGGGGGTGATTTTTGAACCTATTTTAAGAAAAAAAAACTTCATTTGAAGGCATGTCCTAAATATCTTAACTTTTGAAATACAGGGTGGTAAAATTTTCTAAAAAAAACTTTTTTTCATAACTCCGATGTTATTATAGATATATTTATGAGACTTGGTGGGTACACGTTTTCTATGCATCAAAATATCTATTTTTATGTACAAACAATTTTATTTCTTTTAACCAGTGGCGTCCATACCTGTTGTGCATTTAATATTTTTGAGGGAAAAAATTGTACGCCATTGACTTTTCTCCTAGAATATTTTTTTTTCAAAATCTTTATTCATTTCTAGACAATTTTCATAGCCGATTTTTTTCGTCGTTTTTGAGGTCATTTTACTTCGACGTTAAGTCATTTTCGAGGTCATTTTACTTCAGGGTCAATTCGCTAAAAATCTGATGCGGTGACTGTTGTGTGCAAATCGTTTTTACATCGGCTAGATGGAAATTAAGAGATACAACTTAACAAGTATAGCTAGAGACGTGAGAAATATAAAATAACACTCGACTGGTGCTATCCCCAAGTCTCTTCCTATATTTGTACAACTGTACAGCAAAACATTTTATACACCAAAAAACACAGTTTTATGCATAGAAGACATAATTTTAAGAAATTTTTTAGGAATTTTTACCACCCTGTATCACAAAAGTTAAGATGTTTAGGACATACATTCATATGAAGTTCTTTTTAAATAGGTTCCAGTATTACCCCCTTAAAGATTAGCATGTCATTAAGGAACACTCAGTATATCTGAGAAACTGGCTGATAAAAGCTGATTTTTTTGCAAATGAAGACTTCTATTTTTGTTTATTAAATTTTACCCACATTCCAAAAATGAAGATCTTTATATCAATTTTTCTGTTCCCAAATATCATATTTTTGAAATTGTTGACATGTTTATGGTGATATGAATAATAGCCTTATAGAAAAGTACTTTTTAACATTCATAGTTCATTCAGGATAGAAGCAATGAGGTTATAGATCTTAATCTTACAACAGATCATATCTTTTTGACTTTTATAACAAATAACTATTCTACAAGGCGAGGACATTATTTTTCATGAAAATACTTTATTTGTAAAATACACAAAACATAAAAACTATTTTTAACTTGTTGTAACAAAGATTCTGCTTAAGCAAATTAGCAAAACGGCGTCAAAGACGGCTGGGAAATCGATGATAATTTTAGTAATGTCATGCCCTAGACGTCATTTACATGGCTTTAGTGTGTGGCCTGGACTCTAAATTATTTTTTAATGGTGATTACTGCCAGTTGATCTTAAGAAGGTTGTAATTTATTTTTATACTGAATAAAAATTATTTTTAAATGGTGTAGTTTAAAATTCGAGAAAAAAGTATTTTTTTGGAAATAGATTTGTGTGTCTGGAATCATTTTATCCTTCTTTAATCTACTTCTAGTGTTAATTTGGCAAGTTTTACGTCAATTTTTTGGAAATGACGTTTAGAGATTGACCTCGCCAAAATTATTATCGATTGTCTTTCCTCAGCCGTCTTTGACGCCGTTTTTTTTTTCTTTCGGATCGTGCTATCGGAAAAAATGTGTCAAAGTTGGCTTGGAAATGGAGATTACTCATTTTTATTATGCATTCCGAATTAATTTGAGCTGGACTAATGTGTTCTTAGAACGTTAGAATTTAAATTCTGAGAATATACAGGATGTGTGTGCTGGAACCTCTTAGCAAAATGTATATTTAGAACTCCCAGATATACAGACTGGGTCTTAAATAAGTGCAAATATTTTTAGAGGAAATATTTGCACTTATTAGAGGAAACACGATTGTGAGGTTCTTTTCTCGAAAAGAAAATTTTGAAAATTTGTTTTTTTTTTAGTTTTTAGTTAAAAACATAATTTCTTGATAATATGACAACACAGGTATAGTAAACGCCACGAATGTTTGGGAGTGATTCATCGGTCGCTACCGTGTGAACTAATTTGTTCAAGGTCATATAAAACTTAATTCCAGTGCCGTGGTGTTTCAAGTCATATAATAATCAATATATTATAATCTGTTGTAATTTGTTGTTTTAACTGTCAAAATCTTGTCAAAAAGTATATTTGGTTATAAATATAAAATGGTATGCCCCATTGGTCGCACTGCAAGCACACCAATGGACTGACGCACAAAAACGAATCAATCAAAGAAACGCTAACATTTTAGAATAAGTAGGAGGAGCGCAGGCAGATGATTAGACCGGGCCTTTAAAAACCAACGTCTGCGGTAAAAATTTACGTTTTTAATGTAAAAATGATAGCGCGCGTGTCGATTCTAACTTCATCAAGCGATGAATCACTCCCAAACATTCGTGGCGTTTACTATAGTAGATTAAATTTACAAAAAAGAAACCCCACAAAAGATCCAGCGGTTCTCAAAATTTAAGGAAAACCCAAATTTTTGGTAATTTTCAAAGTAAAATAACTCGGTTTTTTGGACTTATTTGAAAAACGGTAGCCCTGAAAATATTTGCACTTATTTAAGATTCACCCTGGTATACAGGGTGTTCCTTAATGATATGCTAATATTTAAGGGTTTCATTTTTGAACCTATTTTAAGAAAAAACTGGTAAAATAAAATGGTATGCCCCATTGGTCGCACTGCAAGCACACCAATGGACTGACGCACAAAAACGAATCAATCAAAGAAACGCGATATCGTATGTCTAGCGACTCAGTCATTAATCCTCATTTCCAAGCCAGTTTGGCACGTTTTTTATCATACAATACTACTGAAGGAGCATAGCCAATATAAAATAGAACCAGTATTGAGTTATATTGAGTCGAACCATATACCGGGTGCGTCTCAGAAGTGGCTCACCCCTATAACTTTTTTATTTTTTAGATACAAAAACGATATTTGGTATGTTAGTATATGACATTAGATGGTTAATTACATTGGTCACTTCCTGTTTCACCGGAAATGACTACAACTTTTCATTTTTAAATGGCACCCTCGGAATTTTTTTTACTTTATTCGATAGAAAATGACATTTTGGTTTGGTATTTCAAAATTCAATCTAGAGTGTCATGGATATGTTAAAAATACTAATTCTTAATCAAGGAGCCTTGGAAAAATAAATTTGATCGTCTAATGTTTTTAGCTCGGTTTTTATAGTGTCTTGTCCTGACTAGTTAGAAAATGCACAAATCGTATTTTTAATCATATCTCAGTTTTTTCAAATGGAACGAGGGTGGTTCATTAGCATATTTATTTGGAAAAAGCATTTTTTACGAATACTTTGATACCACACCCTTGGTATTTCGAGTCAAATTTTCGTTACGAACCGCAAGTTGTAATTTCAAATAAACCAAATGCGAAATGTCACAAGTTGACATCTGATATGTTATTCTATTCAGGGTGTTATTTTCTATTGAATAAAGTAAAAAAAAATACCGACGATGCCATTTAAAAATCAAAAGTTGTAGTCATTTCCGGTGAAACAGGAAGTGACCGAAAACAATTGAATACGTCAATCAATCCTAATTTATGTCATACACTAACATACCAAATCTCGTTTTTTTAACAGAAAAAATAAAAAAGTTATAGGGGTGAGCCACTTTTGAGACGCACCCGGTGTTCTCATAGCCTGTTTAATTATACTTATTTTTAATCATATTATGATATAATTAAAAACGGCTTTAGCGATAGGTATACAAATTAAACCTTTATGTGTTTTTTGAGCCCCGCTAATGCTTATATTTATTAATAACTATTTGTGTTCCTGTACTAATATATATTTTTTTTCTGGAAATATAGTTTAAAAGTGATTTGCCAGTAAAATAATGATTATTTTTTAGAATAAGTCAACCGATTTTTTTGGGCCAGCTGTTGCAATTTTACTCGCCAACAGATGTGGATATTACGCAAGTACAAGCGTATTGGTACGCCGCTGGAATTGTTGTATGTTCTTTAGTAAACGTTCTAATAAGGTAGGTACTATTTTAAAAATATATCCTTAGGGATGATTATTTTCAATGTGAAAAATATCGATATACATATGGTGTTTTAAGAAGCATGACAAGATTCTTATGACAAGATTATGACAAGATTATGACATGATTATGACAATATGATGACAATGAAAAGTTGGTTTCCATAACAATGTATAATTTGTACTTTCTAAACCGTATAAAATTGTGATTATTTTGGAAATACGTGAACTTTTAATGCGCATGCGCAAAGTAAGGTCCTCGAGACCTATTGAACGTTTCATAAGTGCAATAAAGAAGTGAATCAGTATACCGGGTGTTGCATCGTCGAGCGGGACATAGGAAATCCCATGTAAATTTTAATGGGCTCAATTATTGGCTTCCCTAATTATTTTAGAAAATAAGTCTATTTAGGTTTATTGAAGAGCACTAAAACCCACATTCAAAAGAATAACTTTAGATATTTTTGATTAGCCCGTTTACGAGTTATCGCCGATTTATTTTTAATTATTTCTCCTTTCTTATGGCCCTGTATTTACCATGAGCACCAGTCAAGGTAAAAGATAACTGTCAAATGAAGTTGTCATTTCAGAAATTTATCTATTTAGTGCTTTATTATTATTATTAAAAACTCATACCTACATCGAAAATATTAGCCATGAATTACACTATCGGAGAAAAAGTATTGATGATTAAATGGTATTATCAAGGAAATAGTTATCAAAAGGTGTCGGACATGTTTACTGCTCTGTGTCCGAATAAACCGATACCTGGAAAATCTACAATCGCAAGGAATATCCAGAAATTTGAGACCAAAGGTACCCTAATAAATAACTGCAGATATGAAGCAAGGCAGAAACAAAGAGAAGATGCAAGAAATGATACCGACTTGGAAGTTTTATTGTGCGTGGAAGAGAACGATGGAAAGATCAGCACAAGGAAACTTGAGGATGAAATAGGAATAGATCACACTACAGCGTTTTGAATTTTGAAACGACATAAATACTATTCCTTCAAATATGAAAAGCACCAAGAGCTACGAGATGGGGACGAAATACGGCGGCAGGCGCTTTGTTTTGATATGATGGAAAGAGTAAACACAGATAGGGAATTTTTAAAAAATATATGTTTCACTGACGAATGCACGTTTACCTTAAATAATGAACCCAATGTTCAAAATTATCGATATTGGAACAAAGAAAACCAACACAGGTTTGTCGAAACAATGACGCAATATCCACAGAAAGTAAATGTTTGGGCAGGGATATTCGGCTACATGATGCCGCTAGAGAAAATCAGGAAGTTTGGTACCAAATGGATGGCTGCCCGGCACATAGTACCCTGGCTGTTCGGGAATATTTAGACAATAGTTTTAACGGAAACGTTATTGGCCTAAATCATACAGTAAATTGGCCAGCAAGGTCTCCTGATATTTCGCCAAATGATTTCTTTCTCTGGGGCCATTGAAAAAACGGGATATACAAGGATAAAAAATACCCAAATCTAGACGAGTTAAAAAATGCTATTTCTGCCGAATGCAATAGAATTTCAGTTTACCAACTAGCGAATGTAAGAAGAGAGTTTTATGATCGCCAGGGTTATTGTCTAGCAGTCGATGGAGGAATATTTGAACATCTTCTTAAATCCTAAAATTCTAACACTTTAATAGTACCTAAAATAATAAGTTATTGAATATTGTAATAATACTATAATTAATCTTGTAATTGATTACTTTATTTTACTTTAATTCATATTAATTTCTATTTATAAATACATCTTTAAGATTTCCGATATAGGAATGAGTTTTCAATAATAGTAAAGCACTAAATAGGTAAATTTCTGAAATGACAACTTCATTTGACAGTTATCTTTTACCTTGACTGGTGCGCGTAAGTAAATACAGGGCCATAAGAAAGGAGAAATATTTAAAAAGAAATCGGCGATAACTCGTAAACGAGCTAATCTAAAATATCTAAAGTTATTCTTTTGAATGTGGGGTTTAGTGCTCTTCAATAAACCTAAATAGAATTATTCTCTAAAATAATTAGAGAAGCCAAAAATTGACCCCATTAAAATTTACATGGGATTTCCTATGTCCCGTCCGACGATGGAAAACACCCGGTATATAGTTTGAAAATGGCATGTCGTGATGTTGGAGACATAATAATTTTTAATTCTAACCCTATGGCGTTGATTTATCCACGTATGTATATATGATCTAGGTATATGACGCGACGTTGAACGATGACTAACAATTCTATAGATTGTAGACAAGGGTTGTAGTTATTCACCCGTAATGTTATGCCACAGAGGCTCCCGCATTGATTTCCTTTAGAAATGTTTTCCAAGCTGTTAGTGCTTCAAAGTTTTGTAGGTTGAAAATATTAACATTGTTATGAATAAGGTTGAATAATGGTTACAGGTTCCAGGTTCTAATAACTTTTTCGCGTAAAACTCCTAATTTAGATATCCTGTATACAGAATTTTGATTTCGAAAATTATCCTAATAAATTATTATTACTTATAATAGCACATATTTCGTAAAATTTTCCACTTAGGCGAGCTAAGTAAAATAACCGATATCTAATATCGATCTTGGCTCAGAGTTTATTTATTTGACTTGAGCGGCAAACATAGCGAGCCTTTATTAATGACGCAAACCATAATTGAATTGAAATCTATCACGAACCATTTGAAACGTTATATTTACAGAATTCCAGTCCTTATTGTAGGTAAATTAATTTCTGTAATACGGGTCATTGGAACATAAACCTTCCCCTTGCATGGGGTCAGTTACAAATGGAAAGATACAGTGAAATTAAGTGAAATTTTCTTTTAATGGTATATTGTTTTATTAAGGGTCAAAATGACACTTTTTGCTGGCTAGGCTGGCTAGGCGTTAGCGAGTTCGACATACAGCCGAGGCGAAAAGTCATTTTTGCTCCGAATAGAACATGCTATTTTTTTCAAAATTTTACAAATAATTTTTTAAACAATTTCAAACATTCCAAATAATATTAAAAAAAGATTTAAAAGTCATACCTTGTATGTAATTTAGATCTTTGTATGTAATTTACGCGTCAAAACGGACGCGTTTAGACAGTTCGATTGCGATGACGGCACTGCAGCGACGGATGACGCTTATAAAAAATTTAAAGCTAAAACGTGCTTTACTTTTATGCCTAGGCGTTAAATGACTTTTTTATCAGTCACGTCCTTTGAATAAGAAGACTAGGGAAGGAGCATATCAAAAATCTTAGGTCCACCTCGATGGGACTCAAATATGGCCGACTTAAATTTCGGTTTATCAGTGCCGTTCTAATTTTATTTAAAAAATGTAAAACTACGATGTAGGGTAGACGTGGGGTAGACTCAATATTTTTCTTTATTTTACGTTGTGAATAAATGTTGGTAGTTATTAAAATTGTTATAAAAATATATTATTATAATAAAAATAGATAAGTTTAAATAATTATTTATTAACACAAACATCCGATACGCTACTGAAGCAGGTAAGTCAAATTGACGTATCTAAATTCTTTGACATCTAATCTTTGACAAGTAGTAAATAAAAGCAAAAATGCAAGAAAAAATATATAATTAGTTAATTTAAGTGAATTTCATAAAAGATCGGTTTACTACACGTATGTATATTATATAGTCACTTACTAGCGAAAAGTTGTTCCATTATCTCACTCGATTTTTGCCGAGATCTACCGCACGCTACACAACCAACTATTTGAGAGTCTTTTTCGATAAATCGCGATAGTGTCTCTGTTAATTTAAGTTCAACCACAATTTCCATCTAGATTTACTACCTTTATACAACTATCAGTAGTAGAATAAATAACAAATAACATAAAATAAGCTCCGTAAAGACTGACAAATCCACAAAATTTCAAATCAAATTCAAATGTGTCAAATGAATCGTCAAACAGAACTGTCAAGGATCCCCACCCTAGAGTCCTTTTTCCGCCCACCATGCATGAATACATGGATAGCATTATGCTCCTTCCTTAGTCTTCTTATTCAAAGGTCACGTCGCAAAAATTAATACTTTTATGACGTTTAAAAATGTCTATTACGAGAATTAAGGCCGATTTACACAAGTTCCGTTCCGTCAAACACTCTCGCTTAAGTCTCGTCTCCATACCGATCTCAAAAATGGCTCACTCCTGTAACTTTTTTTAAATTTGTCAGATAAATAAACGGGATTTGGTACGTTAGTTTATAACATAAATTAGGATCGATTGACGTACTCAATTCTTTTCGGTCACTTCTTGTTTCACCGGAAATGACTACAACTTTTGATTTTTAAATATGGTACCTCCGGTATTTTTTACTTTCTGATATTATATGTGTATCTAAAATTATGAATTATTGTTCAATTCTATGAATTTTAATTTTTTTTTCAGCCATCCTTACATGATGGGAATTTTACACTTCAGTACATGCATATTATTTCCGATTTTTAGTTTATTGTTTTTATGTATTTCATATAAAATGGGTCAGTTTTTTTCTTTAGGGTACTATTTTTGTTACTAAATATTTTTGTGGTTTTGTTTGTTTTCTTTATTTAATAAATGTTTTTATACTTTAATTAGAATAGTTTTTTTACATTTCCATTTACATATTGCTCGTTTGTCGCAGAATATAATTTTTAAAATTTTTGAGATTAAGATTAAAATATATAATTGATTTAAATATAAAAAGGGCGCCCTAAAGAATGCTGCTCGTAAGCGTCAGATACCCCAGGAACGGGCCTGCTTATATCACCCAGTCGGTGAATATGAAATAGTTTGTGTTCGGATAGTGACATTAAAAATGACAATGGGGTTCGGTAGAATAAAAACTAGTCCACTTAGTTTCCCAGTCATAAATATTTGATATTTATTAAAGTGAATAATTTGATTAATGGAAATAATAGTCTGACACATCCCAACTGGAGGAAAGTTAGTCTGGCTGAAAATTTGCGGACGCAAAAATTTGACAGATTTGTGAAACCTTTATTTTACCATGCTTGAAATTTACCTTATTATTTTATACTATCATAAACTATAATCAAAAGCAAGTTTGACTGATTTACGAAATTGGCAAATGAGTCTGCATGGTGGCATCTTGAAAATTGCAAAAATTACAACACTGTACGTTGCTCTTATTTTCCCGGATTTGAAAATTTGTCACATGACAAATAAAAATACTCTATACTTTCATCAAAAATACATGTCTGGCTGTCATTTACAATCACAAAAATCCCGCCAGATTCACAAGTCAGGTAGTTAAATGCGAGGAAATAAAGTGTTTTTAACCATAGTCAAATTTCAACAAGCACTTGTATAATAATTGAACATGCCGAATTTATCGCGCCTGACGAGCGTTGGAAGAGTCTGGCAAGGCTTTCGGGATGTTTCGCATTTAAAAAAATTTAGGACTACGAAAATAAGGGCAATGGTTTCAATAATTTTTATCCAATTTTTTACCTGTCAGACATATTACCTATTCTTACAGAGTTACTATCTCAGAGTGTCTCTCATTAGCGTATTCATCCCGGGGGAGGGGGGGGGTTAAGCCCAGGGGGGCTTAGGTCTTTTGTTTTTTAAAAAATGAAAAATAACATTAAAAACACAAAACGTTTACATGAATTTCTCTATCAATAAATTTCATAGACTTGGTTATCAAACCGTGTTCCTGTAGAATTACTTAAATACCTACAAATTTTCTAAAAAAAATAAAATTAACACATTTTTTGAACACAACAAAATAAAACTAGAAAACGTCATTTTTACTACATCACAAGCAAATAAAAATTAATACGTAGCCAAGAGTCATAATTCAAGATTTCCCTGGGGTGAGCCCAGAAGTACAAGGAGGGGGCCGGCACCCCCGGGCGCCACTGTTGTTACGCCAATGGTTTCTCTAGAGAGAGAATACATTATTTTCTTAACTAACTGCTAATTTTTGACAAGATTATTTATTTAAATTTTTAGTAAATGACTCTGAAATGAGTCTAGAGATTGCGACCTCGCCAAAATTATCATCGATCGTCATTCTTTAGCCGTCCTTGACGCCGTTTTTTTTTCGATCGTACGGTACGTCCACTATGATACACAAATATTTACAATCGTTTTATATCTCGGAGTATACCGAAGTTGTTTGACTTCCTACTGATAACAAAATTTATTCAAACAACACTATAGAAGAAGTCTGATTAAATATTAGTAATTCATTAAAGAAAAATGTTTTTTGTCAGTTTGTTGTACTATAACGCTAGAAATTTTCATTTTATTTGATAAATTTATGAATAGAAATTGACTCGTCACGCCACTTGCGCAATATGCTATTAATTTTCGTTGAAAATCACTGACCTGCCCTCACTTTTGGCAGGATACTTGTTTTATCGTTCATGCTAAAAATATATTAGCGAAATGATACGCCCAAACTGAAACGGTTACGTTATATAAGATGTATGTGATGGACTAAAATTCATTTGAACCAGGGGCGTAACTAGAAATAATAATCCCGTAGTAATATTGGCTCAGAAATCAGTTATATAAGAAATATTTGTTTATTTAGTATTTGGAAGCCTTTTCGAATAGTATGTCATAAAAAAATTTTGTCAACAAAAGTTTGGTTTGTTGGGGTACATTTTTGTTTATTTTCGTTTTTTTCTCGGTACGGTATTGATGTCTAAATTACAGTATCTACTTGGTTAAGTTCATACCTACACAAGAAAAGTGTTTAGAATGTAAAGCAAGAACACGTTTTCATGTAACCGATTTCAGTTATTCTAAAGTCGGAAAAAAGAGAATGATGCATTTCCGCAGAGAAATTTTTATGATTTCGTGTTTGGGGAGGCTTCTATATACTGGATGTTTTGTTGTTTTTTTATAAGTGATTTGAAGTAAAAAAAAACTTCACCCGTAGTTAATACTAAATATTTTTTCTCCAAATACAAGATTATAAATGGCACTAGTTTTTTTTTGTAAAAATCTACAAAGAGAACGTACCTATCTGTCAGTGTTTCTTTATTTCATACAAATTTGTACATCAATGGTGGTTTTATTTTATTTTGTCCAACTTTTAAGTGACTATAACTTTTTTGTTTTGGAAAATATTTTCTTTAAAAATCGAATCGAGATTTGGAACATTCTTTAAAAAAATAAATTGTAGGGTTTCTAATGAAGTTTTATGGCGTATGTCAAGTGTCACAGTTATTGATGTAACCTATTTTTTAATGGAACACCCTATCTATTAGATAGATGTGTACTGGATAGCATATTTTCTATTTCAATAATATAGATAGATAAATAGATAGATAGATTGATAGATAGATTGGTTATTTGACCACATTTTGTATAAAAATATAATTGTAACATGTCTAAAAAACTATACCGGGTGCGTCTCAAAAGAGTGGCTGACCCCTATAACTTTTTTATTTTTTCAGATAAATAAACGAGAGTTGGTATGTTAATATATGACATAAATTAGGATTGATTGGTGTATTCAATTGTTTTTGGTCACTTCCGGTTCCACCGAAAATGACTGCAAATTTTGATTTTTAAATGGCACCCTCGGTATTTTTTTACTTTATTCGATAGAAAATGACATTCTGAATAGAATAACATATCATATGTCAACTTTCGACATTATCACTTAATAAAGAATTGTATTTTAAAATTTAATCTAGGGTGCCATGGCTATGTTAAAAACACTAATTTCTCATCAAGGAACCTTGGAAAAATTGATTCGATCGCCTAATGTGTTTAGTGTCTTGTCCTGGCCAGTTAGAAAATGCTCTAATCGTATTTTTAATCATATCTCAATTTTTTCAAATGGAATGAGGGTGGCTCATTAGCATATTTGGAAAAGCATTTTTTACGAATAATTTGATACTACACACTTGGTATTTCAAGTAAAATTTTCGTTACGAACTGCAAGTTTTAATTTCAAATAAACCATATGCGAAAATGTCAAAAGTTGACATATGATATGTCATTCTATTCAGAGTGACATTTTCTATCGAATAAAGTAAAAAAATACGTGGGGTGCCATTTAAAAATCAAAAGTTGTAGTCATTTCCGGTGAAACCGGAAGTGACCGAAAACAATTGAATACGTCAACCAATCCTAATTTATGTCATATATTAACATACCAAATCTCGTTTTTTTAACTAAAAAAATAAAAAAGTTATAGGGGTGAGCCACTTTTGAGACGCGTGTATCAAACAACATACAGATTGTTAACTGGACGGTTACTTATTGGGGAACAGAATGGCAACACTGCCTACTCCCTGTAGCTAAGCTGCCGACTCGTCTCGTCGCGTCGTCTCTCGACGAGCGGGCCGAGGTTGCCATATTTCAACCATAAAGCTTTTGCCGCGAGTAATAAACAAATTAACCTGTATAATAATATGTAAAGTAAATATTCATATGTTGTCCTATATATCACATACATATATCATATGTTTCTTGTACCGTATGATCGAAAAACAAAGTCGTCAAACAAGGCTGGAGAATGGCAGTCGATGATAATATTGGCGGGGTCAATCTCTAGATATCATTTACTAAAAATTGACATAAAACTTGTCAAAAATTAACAGTCTCCAAAAAAGATACTTTTTCTCGAATTTTAAACTACACTATTTAAAAATTGTTTTTAGTCAATATAAAAATAGATTACAATCTTCTTAAGGCTAACTGGAAGTAAACTTCATTAAAAAATAAAGAACATTACGGGCCAAGTAAATGACGTGAAGGGCTTGACCTCGCCAAAATTATCATCAATTATCAATATCCTAGCTGTCTTCGATGCCGATTTTTTTCGATCTTATAATCAATCAACAACACAATAATTGGCCAATTGTACTTATATGATTTTACTATTTTTTATGAGAACAATATTAAGCTCTGGCTCTTTTGGAAACACACTTTTGAAAACACAACAGAGTTGATATTTTTGAGAAATAAATACATATATTATAATTTTTTTTATTTATTTTTAGGTGGTAAATCTGTTGTCAAACGATGTAAATAGGTTTGATATAGCTTTAATCTTCGCCCATCATCTTTGGTTGGGTCCTCTTGAAACCATTATCTGTACATTTTTGATGTATCTTCATGTGGAAGTTTCAGCTATAATTGGTGTTATTCTACTTATTATGTTTATACCTATACAAGGTAAAGTATTTTAGAAAATGCTGCTGTTGTAATAGTTTTTAAACAAAAAAAATTTTGGTTCTACAGTATGTTCCCGGATATGTCTTTACAAGACGAAATACTTCTTTATTATTGACATTTTGAGAAAAATGTATTCTTCATAAAAAAAAATGCGTCTTCTGAAATGGTTATACTTTATATACAGGGTGGCGCCTCTCATACGCCGCAGAAGCTCCAAGGAGAACGGTAGTTTATATCGAAATGAAATTTTGGCAGCATATGTAGGTTAACTGAAAGCATTTTATAAAAATATATAGAATTATACAGGGTGTCCCCAAAAAAAGTTACACATCAAAGTTGTGTTTTTCCTAATGGAACACCCTATATATTAATTGATTTTCGGATTCTGGGAAAAAAATAAAGGCGAGTTTTATTAAAGAAGCATATACCTAAAATCTAAGGATTGTAACATATTTTACATTTTGAGAAAATGAAGAGTAAATTTTAAATTTCGATAACAGCTACCTAAATTTTAGTTGACCTTGTATACCCTGATATTTAATTACAGTAACCATTATATTGACGTTACTTCAAAAATTATTTGGAAAAAATCGAAATAAAAATGAAACTTCTACACCCTGTATCTCCGAAACTAAGCACTTTAGGACATACATTTATACGAACTTTTTTACTTATTTTTATCTGCAGAATATGCTGCCGAAGTTTCCAGAATACAGTTCGGACCACCCTGTATAGTTTTTGATATAAATTTATTTTATTTTCTTTTTAGTTTATTTGGGAAAGAAAATATCGATGTTGCGTTTGAAAACGGCCTTGAGAACTGACGAAAGAATGCGTTTGATGAGCGAAATTATATCTGGTATACAAGTAATTAAAATGTACGCATGGGAAAAACCATTTGCCAAATTGGTAGCTTTGGTAAGAAGGTAAGTACTTGGTGTAAATTGCGTTTCAATGAAATTAAACGAACTTTATTCTATTTTAAAATGTAAATTTATGTTAATTTGCGTAACATAGGTACTTTTCTATTACTGTAAAGATGTAGTAAATAGTATTCTATTATGAACAACAAGGGTGGTCTCATTTTCTGTACTGTACATAAATGTATATTAATTGATTGTTTTTTTTTAATTCAGAAATGAAATTAGTGCAATCAAGTACACATCTTACATGAGAGGAATTCAAATGTCATTCATCATGTACAGCACCAGAATGTCCATTTTCGGAAGTATTCTTGCCTACGTCCTTCTAGGAAACAACGTCACTGCCGAAAAAGTGTTCGTTCTAACCTCATTCTACAACATTTTAAGGCAAACCATGACGGTCTTTTTTCCGCAAGGCATTGCCCAAGTCGGTATTTAAAATATGCACGTTTTTGAAAATTGTTTATAGAGTTTTTTATTGATAGGTCGCAGAAGCCATGGTTTCCATAGCTCGGCTGAACAAATATATGCTATATGATGAAACGGAAATAGCTAAGGAAATCAGAAATAAGGAGATGCAAAAAATAAATGGAAAAGTTTCTAACGGAGAAATTAAAGAAACAAAAGATATAGGTAAGTAGTAGCCTTGTCAATAATATGAGTGAAAAAGGCTTTGAGCATGACTCTTCAGATAAAAAAATTAATTGTGTGTGCACTATGTGCGCATATTTGAAGTGGAACTTCTTCTTACTTCCGTCTGTCCGTCTATCCGTCTGAGAATGGTCTGAGAACTCTATTCAGGTACCTGTATCCATGTACCGAGTTTGGTTCCAATCGACCCATAATTAAGTCATCCTGTAGCCCGTCCCCAATTATGCCGAAATCGACCCACATTTTTCTTCAATATTAAATCCTTAGTCCCACTCAGATGAAGATGTAAACAAAACGTCGTATCCAACATTGCAGGGTGGGATCCTGTGCACCGTCGCTTACATTGCCTACCCACCGAATTTGGCCGCGATCGGACGATATCAACTTTTGACGTTTCTTACGTCACAACCAGCTGTCACAGTGGCACGTGTCGTACCCGGTAAAGTGGGCTTTGGTCCAATCTATCGACATACAAAATTTCATTTAAATCGCACGATTTTTTTATTTGATTCATTGATGATGGGGTTTGACGTCTCTTCGAGCCCCATCTATGTTCCGAGTTTCAGTCCCCTACCTCTATAGGGCCCGAGTTACAACGCTCCAAGATCAAAAAGTCAACGTTACCACTATTTCTCGCGTTGCGTGTGCCACGGCCTTCAATTTTTACTCCCATCGCGCGTAAAGCTAGGTTGACACGGGTAGTGAAGTACGACTGTGGTACGATCGTGTCTCACACTTTCGTGAGCTACGAAAGTACCAACAAGCCATTCGTGAAAAATGAAAATCGTCCAGCGATCGTAGGCTGTTTACACGGCAAACGTGCCAGTCTTAATAGAGTTCCTTAGAGTCTTTGAATAAGAAGACTAAGGAAGGAGCATAATGCTATCCATATATTCATGCATGGTGGGCGGAAAAAGGACTCTAGGGTGGGGATCCTTGACAGTTCTGTTTGACGATTCATTTGACACATTTGAATTTGATTTGAAATTTTGTGGATTTGTCAGTCTTTACGGAGCTTTATTTATTATTTATTCTACTACTGATAGTTGTATAAAGGTAGTAAATTTAGATGGAAATTGTGGCAGAACTTATAAGAAAATAGTTGGTTGTGTAGCGTGCGGTAAATCTCGGCAAAAATCGAGTGAAATAATGGAACAACTTTTCGCTAGTAAGTGACTATGACTATATAATATACATACGTGTAGTAAATCGATCATTTATGAAATTCACTTAAATTAACTAATTATATATTTTTTCTTGCATTTTTGCTTTTATTTACTACTTGTCAAATATTAGATGTCAAAGATTTTAGATACATACGTCAATTTGACTTACCTGCTTTAGTAGCGTATCGGGTGTTTGTGTTAATAAATAATTATAAAAACTTATCTATTTTTATTATAATAATATGTTTTTATAACAATTTTAATAACTACCAACATTTATATTCACAACGTAAAATAAAAAAAAAATATTGAGTCTACCCCATGTCTACCCTACATCATAGTTTTACATTTTTTAAATAAAATTAGAACGGCACTGATAAACCGGAATTTAAGTCGGCCATGTTTGAGGCCCATCGCGGTGGACCTAAGATTTTTGATATGCTCCTTCCTTAGTCTTCTTATTCAAAGAGCATAATGCTATTCATGTATTCATGCATTCTGTTTGACGATTCATTTGACATATTTGAATTTGATTTGAAATTTTGTGGATTTGTCAGTCTTTACGGAGCTTATTTTATGTTATTTATTATTTATTCTACTACTGATAGTTGTATAAAGGTAGTAAATCTAGATGGAAATTGTGGTAGAACTTAAATTAACAGGGACACTATCGCGATTTATCGAAAAAGACTCTCAAATAGTTGGTTGTGTAGCGTGCGGTAGATCTCGGCAAAAATCGAGTGAGGTAATGGAACAACTTTTCGCTAGTAAGTGACCATGGTATAAAGAAAACAAGGTATGATCGATAGCGGTTCCAATCTCGTTAAGTTTGCGCATACCACCTGTGACGTCATACGCCATCCACAAAAATATCCATATTGTGCAATTGCCACTAATAAAAAAAGACATAAAATAGGGAAAAATTAGGACATAACCCCAAAAGTTATGTCAAACATAGTCAAATCATCGAGCTTGACATTTGAAAAATTATTTTCACATTTATTGTGTCATCTGTTTGACAATTTGATATTGGCGCGCGGAACTTGCCGACCAATGGTGCCGTTTATCACCTGTGACGTAGTGACCAACCTGCGCAATATCATACCTTGTATTCTTTGTATCATGGTAAGTAACTATATAATATACATACGTGTAGTAAACCGATCATTTATGAAATTCACTTAAATTAACTAATTATATATTTTTTCTTGCATTTTTGCTTTTATTTACTACTTGTCAAAGATTAGATGTCAAAGAATTTAGATACGTCAATTTGACTTACCTGCTTCAGTAGCGTATCGGATGTTTGTGGTTATAAATAATTATTATAACTTATCTATTTTTATTAGAATTTTATATTTTTATAACAATTTTAATAACTACCAACATTTATTCGCAACGTAAAATAAAAAAAAATTATTGAGTCTACCTCACGTCTACCCTACATCATAATTTTACATTTTTTAAATAAAATTAGAACGGCACTGATAAACCGGAATTTAAGTCGGCCATATTTGAGGCCCATCGCGGTGGACCTAAAATTTTTTATATGCTCCTTCCTTAGTCTTGTTATTCAAAGCGAGTAGAGTCGAGTTAGAGTCTTATAAAGTTCCTCTCGTGGAAGGTTGTACACTAATGTGCCAAATATTACGACATTAAAAGACGAGTGAAAATAATTAATTGTGGCATTCATGTCAATATCTCTTTACAGAGTTGCCAATATTTACTATTTTACGTCAGTACGAGTCATTGCTGCACCTGAATATTGCTATAAGAACACAGGTCCTAAGGTGCTACGTATTCTCCACGCTCCTATATGGAGTGGAAGCTTCAACCCTGACAGATGCTACATCTAGACGCTTGGAAGCCTTTGAAATGTGGTGCTATCCCGCATGCTCAGGATCTCATACACTTACCATGTCACAAACAACACCGTGATCCAGAGAATGCAAAAGGAACTAGAAATAGTACATAGTGTGAAAGTGAGAAAAATGGCATACCTTGGGCATGTGATGCGTAATGATAAATACCAACTTATCCAACTGATACTGCAGGGAAAAATAGATAGTAGAAGAGGTCAGGGACGCCGACGAACATCATGGCTGAGAAATATTAGACAGTGGACGGGAATGACGACCGTACATCTATTCAGGGCGGCTGTCAATAGGATTATGTGGACCAACATGATTGCCAACATCCATAGAGGATAGGCACTGAAAGAAGAAGAAGAAGTCATTGCTGTATATAAAAATTGAATTTATACTTATTTTAATTATGGTTTTGTTATGCATATAAAGTTAATTTTTATAATCATATACTAAAATATATTAAAAAATGTGACAATTAAACATTCGAATGTTTTTTTTTGCAACCAAGATTATAATCGGAAGTCAATCAATATTTTCTAATGCGAGAATACTGCAGAATATGCCTTTCTTACCTCAACTTCCTCTGCGACTTCTTAGTCACTATCGATTTGGTAAACTTTGATTTGGTTCATGAAATATCTAACACGTTTGATTTGCTTATTCACGATCGTGGCGTCTTTCGTATTGATTCGTTTCTATTCTTCTTTCACGAATCTACTAAAAATACTAAAAATCTACTAAAATTGGAACATGGATGTTGACATGAGGCGCGGTCTAAGAAAGTGTGGGCCACGATCGTGGTTCACTACCCGTGTCAACCTAGCTTGAAGAAGTTTCACTTCAAAAAAATGCTAAAACCCCTGCGAAAACACCGGATTATATCAATTATTTTTGTTTAAAGGCATTTATATAAAGAACGCTACTGCTAAATGGAGCAATTCTTCGGCAGAGAACACCCTGTCTAATATAACTTTAGATCTTCCATGTGAAACGTTGTTGGCGGTTATTGGACCAGTGGGAAGTGGTAAATCTTCATTGCTTCACCTAATTTTACGTGAACTTCCTATTTCCAGTGGAGAGTTAGAAGTCAGTGGAGAAATAAGTTATGCTTCTCAGGAACCATGGCTTTTTGCAGGTATTTTGATTTGTAATTTTTTCAGTGGCGCTGAAACTTAATATATATATTTCATATCAATTAAACTTTTAGTTACGTAATCGAGGGCTCGATTTTTAAATTCATTGTTGCCATTTACCACGGACATATTAGGCGCCGTGCTAACTGGAATTTACATTTTGCGCTAATGATTCACGTGGTAGCTTTGCTGTAAAAAATGTCAAATTTCCGCATTTATTTATTTATTTCCTGACATTGTCATTCGTTTTGACACTTCAGTTTTATATTACGAGTTTTTCATTTAAATAAATAGTGTTGTGATACTTTAAGCTTGAAAATGTTTACTAGCAGATCTTGCCGTCGAACATTGTTCTTTTTAGAACCTCTTTTAGTGTGAAGTGTACAAGATAGCTCAATAGCCGTAAAAAACTTATCGCAACTTTATTAGAATATTTTGAACGGGAAAGCGGTAGTAACCGCCCTTTATGTCCCTTATGTGCTGTTAAGATGGTGTGAGTTTTGTTGATGTAAATAATAACTGTTTATATATCTATAATTAATTTATTTTTGTTTCGTTATTTATTTTGATTAGTGGTAGTGGATAGGTACACCCTTACGATCCCGGTTTGGGTCCGACCTACTTCAGGGATGCGACCCTGCCCACACGAGCCTTGATTTGCTCTCACACTCCATTTTTTGAGAGGAATCATGTCCTAACCTTCAATCCCATCAAATACCAAATCCTTTTCCTCCTCCCATCCCATTTGCTATTGATGGGGGTTGTCAGTCCTTCATCAGACGCCTCCCCAGGTGGTGAATAGGGGAAAGCCTCCCAGATATGGGTGGTACCGAAGATATTAAATATACGGGGCGAACCAAAAAACTGACCTAGACAATGGCAGCTAGTTGTCACAGTACTGAATGCAAGCAGAGATCACAAGGATTGGAATGGTTGTATTCAGAAAACATTCGGCGTGGTGACAGTCATAGAAGCGGCAAATGTATAGCGGTGTAGAAGGCAAGGGGAAACCACTGCACTAAACTTCCCCAAGAACAATCATCATGACAAACACAAATGAAAACGGCCCCAAGTTCCCGACGTCTCTTAGATGGGACAGGGGTGCTAAGAATCCCCGGGCGGAAAAATAAAAATTCTTTCAAAATTGGAACATGGAATGTTCGAACACTTTATGAAGCAGGAAAATTGAGGAACTTATTGTTAGAAATTCAGAGAATGGACATACAAATAACAGGAGTATGCGAAAATCGGCGAAATTGGTATCAGTACTGCACAACGCTAGTGGACAAGTATTAATGACAAATGAAGGCCGATGTGATGAGTGGCAACGACACATACAACAACTATTTGATGACGACACTCGGGAAGCTCCAGAGATACTATTGGCAGATTATGAAGCAGAATGTGGTCCAAGTATACTCAAATCGGAAGTGGAAAAAGCCATACAACAGGCAAAAACAAACAAGACTCCCGGACCAGACGAAATACCCGCGGAACTAATAAAACTTCTCGACAACGACAGTATATCTGTCTTGACAGCATTCTTTAACCAGGTTTACCAAAGTGGAAAATTACCTGGCGACTGGCAGAGATCGATATTTATTGCTTTACTCAAGAATACCAAAGCGAGTAAATGTGATGACTTTAGGCTTATTAGTCTGATGAGCCACATGTTAAAAATACTTTTAAAAATAATCCTCAACCGAATATATGCTAAATGTGAACAGAGCATCGGAAAAGAGCAGTTTGGATTTCGTAGCGGACTAGGCACACGTGAAGCCCTGTTTTGCATGAGGCTATTGTTGCAAAAGTGCAGCGAATTTCGCAAGAACATCTATGTGTGCTTCATCGACTTTGAGTCAGACATACAGAGCTCTTTCGGCATCTGAAATTGTTTAACGTAGACAACTATGACATGCGCCTTTTAGTAAACTTGTACTACGATCAAACTGCTGCTGTTAGGGTCGATGAAGGAACTACAAATGACATCCCAATAAAACGAGGAGTAAGACAGGGGTGTGTTTTGTCACCGTTATTATTCAATTTGTATTCGGAGAACATCTTTAACGAGGCTTTATCCGGCAGAATAGAAGGCGTTAAAATTGGAGGCGAGATCATAAATAACGTAAGGTACGCAGAACGCCATTGTCGCAGAAAGCATGGAAGACTTGCAAACGTTGCTAGATAGGGTTCATGAAGCTAGTTGCAAATGGGGTATTAATATAAATATCAAGAAGACGAAATGGATGTTTGTGGGTAAAATACAAATTAATCCAATCCTGATAAAAATCAACGGACACAATATTGAACAAGTACCACATTTTAGATATTTAGGAAGCTGGCTAAATAGTGAAAATACATGTGACGAAGAAGTAAAGGCAAGAATTGAAATGGCACGTAGAACATTCAAAAAATGGAATACCACGCTCACTAATAGAAATCTGTCACTGCAAACCCGATTGCGAACACTACGTTGGTACATATGGTCCACTCTTCTTTACGGATGTGAGACATGGACGCTAAAAGTCGAGAATATAAATAAAATAGAAGCCTTTGAAATGTGGTGCTACCGGAGAATTCTTAAAATTTCTTGGACCGAACATATAAGCAACGAGGAAGTTCTTGGACAGCTGAACAAAGATCCGGAACTGTTAACCACCATCAAGGCCAGAAAGGTGAGCTACTTCGGACACATAATGCGTGGCACCAAATATTATATTCCTCGTTTGATTATTCAAGGAAAAGTCGAAGGTAGAAGATGGGTAGGTCGAAAGAAACTGTCATGGCTCAGAAATATACGGAACTGGACCGGTCTGGGGGTGGAGAGGCTGTTTCATGCAGCAGAAGATAGAGAACTCTTCCACGAAATAGTCATGGAGATCGCCAACGCCTGAAGACAGGCACGGCACCGCAAGAAGAAGAAGATTTATTTTGATTAAAAGAAAATATATAAAAGTGGGCAACGCTGTGCCGGACCAGATATCTCCGACTGCTCCACGAAGGACTTTCTCCAAAGGAGGCAAAAGCGAAAACACTCCTCCGAAAAGGGCAGAGTAAAGAAACCAAGAAACAACCTGACTCGTCTCCATCAAAGGGCAAGAGGGGGATCGAGAACCTCTCACCTCTTCTCCGGCAGGGAGAGAAAAAAGCCAGGATGGAAAGCCGTCCAACACCTGGAGGCAAGCAGGGACGTATCACCAGCTTTGCCGCTATTGCTGGACCAGTGAAAATGGCGGTGCTGCCAAAGGATTTCCCAGAGGTTGCTCTGACCACCGACCAGCAAACGTCTCTAAAAGAGGCTATACTGGACGAAGTAGTGGCGATCGGATCGCAACACAACGATCTACAAAATGTGGGTCAGCTGCGTTTTGCGGAGATACACTTTCGGGTGGGCATGATCCTCATAGATTGTGTATCTCAAGAATCGGCGAATTGGTTGGTGGAAATCGCACCTAAGCTTAAAAATTGGCAAGGGCCGGACCTGGTTGCAGTGAAGGGAGAAAACATCTGTTGAGCAGTGTGTATATCTTTATTTATAAACGGAACATACAATATTGTTTCTTTACTTGCAACAAATTAATTAACTCTAAGAACTGCTAAGAACAAAAAATAAACGAAGCCTTCAAACAAGCAACGCACTTCACTTCATCTTGATAACCACAGACTTAACTTATCTCCATATTAGACTTACCTTAGACTATTAAAAAAGGCTAGACACAGCGATATTAGAATCTTTTGATTGTCTTTCTTAACAACATCCCTAAAAGGGCGGCCATAACGGTCTTTCTGCCGAGGAGCAAGAGGAAAGACACCACCTACCTGCTGAGCCTTATTCAAGGTCAGAACTTCAATGTAAGGACATCGAGTTGGTGAGTCATCAACTCTAGGGAGGAGGGTCATGGTCAGGTCCTCGCAATAGGAATTGACCTCAAATCCAAGGACGCAATAGAGAAAAAGGGACATATCCTCTATTATAGATACTGGACAAAACCGGTATCAGGTCTAAGGAGAGACCAAGTTAAAAAGGTGGAGAAAATGGAGATAGATCCTCCATCCCCCACCTCTCGGGTTCTTCAGCCGGAGGCAAGCTCCTCGACTGTGAAGAGCGGCACGGAAGGCCAAACTCCATCCGTTGAAGGGTGCGTACCCTTTGAGGAAGAACTGTTGTCAGAGGAGGTGGAAAATACCCTGTCCCCTCTACAACAGGGGTATGATGGGTTATAGATTATGTGATGACTCAAGGAAGGGGGCACAATAGATCTTTAAGGTCGCAGTGATTAACCCCCCCCCCTCTTACTCATTCTACATTCTACAACGCTGTACCGGTCAAGCTTAATCACGTGACTAAAAGTTTATTTGGTGTGAACTTGTAGTTCACTAGTAGTATTGTAAAACTGGAGAATGTTCCCTGAGAAGTAGCACAAATTAAAGAGCTGGGAAAATCAACCAGTTACTTTTTAAATCTTATTTTTAATTTTTAGGGTTCCGTAACTCAAAAATAAGAAACGGAACCCGTATAGGATCACTTTGTTGTCTGTCCGTCTGTCTGTTTGTCAAGACCATTTATCTCGGGAACGCGTGAAGGTATCGAGTTGAAATTAAAACAATATCAGGTCTACAATCCCTTGAAGCTACGAAAAAAATCAAACTTCTAAGTTAACGTAAAAAAAATATATGGCCGTTTATGTCGCAAAAAACAAATCAAAATTTATACGGTATTTTCCGTTAACCTAGAACTTGCTAGAACTATGAAATTTGGCAAGGAATGCCGTTTTATACTACAAGTATAGGGAAAATAAATATATACTATAGGCACTCTACATTTGTAATTAAATCATAAAAGAGATGGTTTTTATTTACATGCTCGTCTGTGCTCTCTTATAAGGGAACATTCCCGCATGACGATCCCCTCGTGTATGGGAACATTCTCTTTACTACAACACTGTTCATTAGGTAAATTATTTTATTACAAAAATTCTTGTGACACTACAATTTTAGGATCTGTAAGACAAAATATTCTGTTTGGCCTGCCGATGGACAGAGCCCGCTACGACCTGGTAGTGAAGAAATGTGCCTTAGAAAGAGACTTTCACCTGTTGCCTTACGGAGATAAAACTATTGTAGGGGATCGGGGAGTTTCTTTAAGTGGTGGCCAACGTGCCAGAATCAACCTTGCTAGAGCTGTAAGTTTAACTGTGATCCAATCAAACTGGGTTGTTTATATTTTGCTTGTTTGTGTTTATGGTTGTGCGGTATTAATATTGCAGTATTGATTATTAATGATTTTTGAACGTTTTAGGTATATAAACAAGCTGATATATATCTTTTAGATGATCCTTTATCTGCTGTCGATACCCACGTAGGAAAAGAATTATTTAAGCAGTGCATTACAGGGTTTCTCAAGGATAAAATTGTTATTCTTATCACGCATCAGTTGCAATACTTAAAGTCGGTAGGTACAATTAATAATTTTTTTATGCGCACTTGAAGTGGGATCAATTACCGAAATATCGCTACGCTATTCGGTTTCAGGTAAATCATATTATATTTTTGGATAATGGCGAAATCAAAGTTGAAGGTTCGTACAAAGATCTGCAAAACAGCGGGTTTGATTTTACCAAACTACTTTCCGATCAAAACCCAGAAGAGGATAAAGAACTGGTTAGACAAATATCTCAAACTAGGGAGAGATTAGAATCAATTAAAAGTGTCAGCTCTGTGGAAATTGAAGCTCCAAAAGAAGTAAGTAACTTTAAAATTCATTGATTATAAATTTTTAAAGCTAATAAGAAGGCCCTAAAATTATATTTTGATTTCAACTCTATTTTAGTTGATTTTAGTTGATCATCTTCATTACTAAACAGCTTATATATTCGCTCATTGCTAGCTAGTCTGAAGTTTGTCTAATAGTCTCTTTTGAGTCTCTTTTCTGAGTCTGTCAAGAATAAGTAAAAGAATGTCACGATGACAGTTGTTTTTGTCGCTTATTTAACATCAAAAACAATCTTTTGTAATTTTGTGTATCTTATCTGTTAAATCATAATGTAGTCTCTTGTTAGATAGACTATTGCTAAACTTATACCAATTAGAAACCATATCATAACAGCTATTACTATTGTAGAAGGAGATTGTAATTATAAATCATGATTTTGTAGTTCGCATAAACAAATTTATGTGTGTTTATACGATTGTTACGTTATTTTCTAGGTGGAAGAACAAAGAAGTACTGGCTCTGTAGGGACGAAAGTGTACGCTGCTTATTTTAAAGCAGGTGGAAATGCTTGTACGATTTTCGTTATGTTTTCGCTATTTGTTATAGCTCAACTTCTGGGAAGTGGAGTAGATTATTTTATTACTTATTGGTAAGACTTTTATGCCAGCAGTGACTGTTTTCTTTTAAATATTGCAATGTCGTTGAATGTATTCAACAACTAAGGCTGTATTCTGTTTCTTACCTTTGTTATAGTTTTCTGCTCCGTTTCTATGTTTTGTCCGAAATTTTTAATATTATGGTCATTATTGTCATCAAATTAACCAGCGCAAAGGCTGTCATTTTCTGTTGCAAAAGTAACTGTTTGGGGAGTTTAAAGTTTAAATGTCCATTTACAAGAATTGAAAAAATTAAGTACTTTGATTTGTGGTTTGATATAAAATTTCTATAACATATGAATATGGAAAATTAAAATAGGACAGGGCCCGAATGATGGAACTTCGACATAGAAACGTTACGCTTTCAAAGCGGAAAGCAAAATTATTCGATTAGCAGAATGCCAAGCAGTCGATTTTGCTATTCTCGTTGCCGTGCGCATCGTTTTCTGGATACGTGTTGAGCACATATTGGCAGTATCGTAATTTCTCTGATATCTAATAGCCTGTATATGTAGATAAAACAATGAAAAATGTCAATGTTACGTGAATTTCATAACCTATTGTTGAGTTATGTCGACCTATTTTTCTATAGATATGTCATTAACCTTATTATACGAGGGAAATGTTGAAGACGCTTCTCAGCATGTTTTGAATTTTTATAGCTGCCAATTCATAAATTATCAATTACTTATTTGAGGAATTTATAGAAGAAGAAGTAGTTTTCACTAAACAGCAAGAGAACGCACAAAATCACAACTTTTTCTAGTTTTACTGACAGTTCGACAAGCAAAACGATCCTTTAGGTAGCCGTTTTCAAATCGCTTACCGCAATCATCTAAGCGCGTCAGATGAGAATACCCAAATCGATAGTTAAGTGTGTGCTAAGTCAAAATTAACGTCATATACGTTGAGCGTCAAATAAAAGCCCTTAGCGTTTTCTAAGGCCCAGAACGGAATACAGCCCAAAAAAATCTCTTTTTTGAGATAGACTATGATCAATCAGATTTCTGATAAATCAGTAGAAGCTGTCATGGCATCATCATGAAATTACTATTATCCATTGTATATTAATATAGGGTGTACCAAATAGCAACAAATGGATTTTTTATTAATGAGTTATTGAAATTTGTCTTTTTTGACCAAACCAAACCAACTCAATTTTTTTTTTATTTGAATGTTAATTGACATATGTCAGAATTACTTTTTTGGGTTTTACATACGGTTATACATGTGAAATACTGAAGAACTTCCGAAAAAACTTCTTTTTGAAACTCCTGTTTGTTGCGAACTTTTTTGCACAACCCGTATACCGGGAGCGTCTCAAAAGTGTCTCACCCCTATAACTTTTTTATTTTTTCAGATAAAAAAACGAGATTTGGTATGTTAGTATATGGCATAAATTAGGATTGATTGACTTATTCAATTGTTTTCGGCCACTGCCTGTTTCACTGGAAATGACTATAATATTTGATTTTTATACGGCACTCTCGTTATTTTTCTACTTTATTCGACAGAAAATAACATATTGAATAGAATGACATATCATATGTCAACTTTTAACATTCTCGTTTAAAAAAATGACATTTTAAATTTCAATCTAGAGTGCCAATCTAGAGGCTGTGTTAAAAACACTAACTTTTAATCAAAGAGCCTTGGAAAAAAATAGTTGATCGTCAGTTATTTTTCGTGTCTTGTTCTGGCCGGTTAAAAAATGCCCAAATTGTATTTTTAATCATATCTTATTTTTTCAAATAGAACGAGGGTGGCTCAGTAGCATATTTGGAAAAAAGTTTTTTTTTTTCGAATAACTTGATACCACACACTTGATATTTCGAGCCAAAATGTCATTATGAACCCGATGTTACAATTTCAAATAAACCATATGCAAAAATATCAAAAGTTGACAGAGTGTCATTTTTTATCGAATAGAGATGAAAAAAAAAATACCGAGAGTACCGTATAAATATCAAATGTTGTAGTAATTTCCGGTGAAACAGGAAATGGTCGAAAACAATTGAATACATCAATCAATCCTAATTTATGTCATATACTAACCCACCAGATCTCGTTTTTTCATCTGAAAAAAAATTAAAAAAATGATAGGGGTGAGCCACGTTTGAGACGCACCCGGTATATCTTCAATATTTTCAGGGTTAACATTGAGCAACAAGATTTCCTCGCGCATAAAACCATAATCAACAACACACCAATTATTGAGTCCATGCAAGCGGATTCTAGTGTTACAAACAATATCGTCGCTACAACACTGCTACCTTTGTCTGTCAACTTGCCTGATTGGGTTGTGTCTGATAACTCAACTGTCAAAAGCGACTACTTTTCAACAGATTTTTGGCATTTCTCAAGACAAACCTGCATCTATATCTATTCAATTTTGATAGCGTCCTTAATCATATTTACCATCGTTCGTGGTTTTGTGTTTTTCGCTGTTTGTATGAAGGCGTCTACAAAGTTACATGATAATATGTTCAGGAGTATCACCAGAGCGACTATGAGGTTTTTCAACACTAACAGCGCAGGAAGAATATTGAACCGATTTTCTAAAGTAAGTTTTTTACAGGATGTTCAAAAATCCCTATGGCATAAAGCCAGTGTTGGCATGATTTAAACCATAATTTAAATCAAGTGATTTTTTAACTTTAGTCATGCGGTTTAAATAAAAAAAATATTGAAACTCTTTGAATAAGAAAACTAAGGAAGGAGCATAATGCTATCCATGTATTCATGCATGGTGGACGGAAAAAGGACTCTAGGGTGGGGATCCTTGACAGTTCTGTTTGACGATTCATTTGACACATTTGAATTTGATTTGAAATTTTGTGGATTTGTCAGTTTTTACGGAGCTTATTTTCACTTAAATTAACTAATTATATATTTTTTCTTGCATTTTTGCTTTTATTTACTACTTGTCAAAGATTAGATGTCAAAGAATCTAGATACGTCGATTTGAGTTACCTGCTTCAGTAGCGTATCGGATGTTTATGGTTATAAATAATTATTATAACTTATCTATTTTTATTAGAATTTTATATTTTTATAACAATTTTAATAACTCTCAACATTTATTCACAACGTAAAATAAACTAACAAATTATTGAGCCTACCCCACGTCTACCCTACATCATAGTTTTACATTTTTTAAATAAAATTAGAATGGCACTGATAAACCGGAATTTAAGTCGGCCATATTTGAGGCCTATCGCGGTGGACCTAAGATTTTTGATATGCTCCTTCTGTAGTTTTCTTATTCAAAGTTGAAACTTTATAATAAATCAAAAAATAACTGTAAAAGTTATAAAAATGTGTCCTAGAAATCTATAAAAAATATTTCTATAATAGATATAACAGATAATAAATCGAAAAATAATTGTAAATGTTATGAAAGTATATAAATATGATATTCATCAATTTAAATGTTGGAGCGAAGTAATTTCGTGTGTATCCATTAAACTTCTAAAGGCAGGGATTTATTTTAAAATTTATGTATAAGTGACAAAAATTCGCTGTTCGAATTCATATTATTCGCAGTCTAGTGCAGAACTAGGTTCTTCTGACATAGATACTATCTTCATTCTCGAGAATCTGCAATAGTTGTCAGAAAATATGTTTTTTGAAACGGTTGTATGTTTCCAAATTCCTACCGACACTTTGATCTGCAGTAAGTATTTTACACTTTTACATTAGATAATACTAATTTCATTCTCCACTTAATAAGACTATTTCCGAACAATAGTGTATTGTTTTATTAGGAGTAAAAAATATACTTTTTTTGACGATGCTGTACCTTTGAAGTTACAGGGAGGCACAAAAAGTACATTTTTATTCCGAATAGAACATACGATTTTTTTAAAACATTACAAATAGTTTTTTAATCAATTTCAAACATTGCAAATAATATAAACAGTAATCGAGCAACAATTTGTACACTCGTTGAATTTGACACTTAATATCAGTTTAATAATATGTTTTTGTAGTTTTGTGCTTATATAGGCGTAACAGTGCTTTACGTTTATGCCTAGGCCAAAGTTTACAGAATAAAATATAAGTTCCGTCACTTGTGCCGGCGGCAGGTATCAAAAGCCGCTTCACGCACGTGTTTCCCAGTGTATTACTGGTGTGTGGACTTTGGACCCAGCATACACGGCGGATCACGTTCGGCGTATTACTCTGATTTTGGCGTTATTACAGAGTGGTCTCGCGAAAGTTATAAAGATTTAGCCATTTATTATAGGACTTTATTTGGAAATAAGTCCTAGTCATTTAGAAATCCGATTTAAATATTGTTTTGAATTAAAATCAAAAAAAATCTGATTTAAATAAAAAAAATCTGTTTTAAATAAAAAAAATCTGATTTAAATTAAAAAAAACTGATTTTTTTTTAAAAATCATGATTTTTCCAGCCCTGCATAAAAGCCAACCAGTTTTATTTTTATCATCATTTATCATAATCATTCCTTCAGGATATAGGTGCTATAGATGAATTACTTACGTCAGCATTAGTGGACGTCTTGCAAATTGGTCTTGGACTTCTTGGAATAATCGTTGTTGTGGCTATTGTTAGTCCATGGCTTCTGCTTCCTACAATACTTGTAGGCATCATCTTCTCTCTGATGAGAATAGTGTATTTGCGCACCAGTCGAAGTGTGAAAAGATTAGAAGGAATTAGTAAGTATATGATCAGTCCAGAGTTTTTTTAGGGACCATTTTTTATGATTCTAAATAATTTTTAAGGTGTTAACGTTGAAATTAAGCGTCGAAGTCACTTCGAAAATTTTGGCGTTTGGTCGCTACATTAAATTATACCGGAAGAAAAAAATTAAAGGTGTAAATAAAAATAAGATGTTTCCTTTCGGAAACGGTAAGTAGTCAAACGACTGGTGAAGCCTCTACGGATAGAGTTGGTGGAGTTCTATATTCGCCCCATTTAAACTGTGTTCCGAAAACGCACAGTTTCCTAGATATTTAATTTGAAAGATTTCGATTGTCGATTTTCTGGATATACCTTTTTCTTTGAAAGAAATCGAATTTTGTATTTATTAACTTTTCCCCCTTTTCTCGCCTGGTACGACTAGAAGACGTTAATGTAAGAATTCTAAATGCAATTTGGCCCCTTTTTAGGTTATGTTGTATTTTAAAAAAATTGCCGGAAATTAAAAAAATCGGTTTTTGTTTTTTTTTCTTACCCTGTATGTACTTTTTTGACAAACTGTGTACTAAAAAAATTAACTAATCAACCTAATCTGCACCGCTCCACCCCCAAAATTCTTTTAAATCGGAAAACGTTTCAAGTCAAAAAAGCTCGATTTTGGCCGAGAAATTTTTTGAAACACAGTTTAAATACGGCGATTATATTGCTCAACTAGCTCTATCCGTAGAGGCCTCACTGGTCGTTTAGCTACTAAAAAACGTTTCACGGGATATTTGCGTTTTTCGATATTGGCAAAATTTCAACTTTAAATCGTTTTCTACGAGTCCTAATGAAAAAAATCTAATAAATGAAAAATAGGCCATGGGAGGGCGCCATCAGTCGTCTATCCGACGCACACATGGCAAAATGCTATGTTTAGCTTGACAAAAATCGAAATTTCGAATATTTTTTTTTCGTATGTTTATCCACTCACTGTTGTTCTTATAAAATCTGTGGACCTACCCAAGCAGCATTTGGACGTCGGGACAACGTTGTGTCACGCGACCAAACGTCGGGGCGCAACGTCGGCACAACCTCCTGCCAACCCTAGTCTGCACTAGTTTGGAGAATAATTTTTGGGTCGAAACGACGTTGGATACCGACGTTGGCTAGAAGCCTAATTTAGTACAAACTGCAACGTTGTTTAAAATCCTAATTCACAGAAATACAAAACTAATATGGCGTCTAAGTCGCGTTTTATCCTAAATTGGGATAATTATAGTAAAAATATTATTTTTATGATTTAGTTAGAGACATATGTCAGATGACAGTGAAGGAAAACAAAAGAAAAATATTTAAGTGTGGAGGATGTTTGAAGATCATAATTATTGAAACACTTTAACCGACTCTGTAACTCGTTACCCAAGGCAAAAAAGTTAAACGCAAACAACTTTATTGATAAATGTATTGTTTCTACTTTGAAAAATACTAATGGGCCTTAAAATTAAAGAAGTTTTAAAAATTTTCTTGATTTTTTTTTTTAGTAAAATGTGAATAATTTATTCGCAGTCGAAAAAATTGTTTCCGCGTGTTTTTTAGGGTCAAATATTTCAAGTTAACGTATTCAAAAAGCAGGAATTGCTATTTTAGGAACGAAACATTTTCTTATTTAACAACATGGCGGCTTTAACTTTGTTGTTTTGGAGATTAAGATGGAGTAGTTCGAGTAGTCGCATACTGGACTAATAAAGTCGCAGTTCGGCCTTAACAAGTAGTATACTAGTCGCAAGATTGCCTAATTTAGTCATCCTAGAGTCTAGCTTGTGCCGCCCTCTATAATCTAAATTAACGAGGGAGTGGATAAACTATCGGTAATATATGTCGATGTATATTTAAATTTAGTTTTATATGTACCTTTCTTATGTCCCATTTTAATTAAGTTTTTTTTATAAAAATAAAAACAGCACTGAACTATCTGACTGAACAGAACAATGAAGTGAAAATTTAAGATTTAAGGTTATGGTTCAATACAGTTGCAAAAAGGTAGTGACTCGACGTCCTACCAACGTAAGAGTAAGGAAATCTAAACAACGTTGGAATTAGTAAAACAGACGACGTTTGCATAACGTTGGAATAGGTCCTGAAACTGACGTCGGAAAACTCTATATTGTCCAACGTTGTAACTACGTTGTCCGAATCACCTAAAGATCACTTAAGCAAAAAAGGTTAAAAGACAACGTTTATTCGACGTCGCAGAAGCTTCTACTTTGCTGTAGTACTAGTCCAACGTCGGCACAACGTTATAAAAACGTTTATATTTATTTTAATACCCAAGGTAGGGAGCTAACTATTTTTTGTAACTAATCCAACGTTGTGTTTAGTAAACATGTGGTCGCAAGTCGTGAAAATGCTACTTGGGTAATTTTAAATGTTATAATTTTTCCCGGCCAACTATAACCTCTGCTATAACGGTGCAAGCGCTACCGAAAGTTGATTCCTCAGTTTCTGGGAAGAGCGTTAGCCTTGTACAAACATGGAGCGCAAAAGAGTGTCATTTACACCCAGCGCAGCCATTTGAAAATTAATTACCATTATGGACAGTATAGCTACAGACATGTAGTACAATTAAATAACATCAATATAATAAATTTGAACTATTTTGAATGTAGATCAGATATATTTTAAACACACTATTTTGGGTTTATCTATACTAATATATAAAATCCTTAAGTGACTGACATACTGATTAATCACGATCCTGCTCAAACCACTCAACGTAAGAAGCTCAATTTTGGCATACAGGTTGATTCTAGGGTGTAGAGGTTCGATAAGAAGGGATTTTTCGAAATTCCAGTTCCAAGAGGGTGAAACCACCCCTCAAATATTAAAATTAACTAAATACTATAAATATTTAACTAAATACTATAAATATTATTTTTTATTTAAAAAACGGTCAAGTTTCCTAAAAAACGCTAAAAAACGTATATTTTATTTTGTTTATTTACATATTTTAAGATTTTTTTAAAAATGTATACAGGGTGTTTCGAAAAATCTGGTCATTGATTAATCACGATCCTGCTTAAAGCGCTTGACGTAAAAAGCTGATTTTTGGAAAACAGATTGACTTTAGAGTGTAGAGGTTCGATAAGAAGGGATTTTTCGAAACTCGAATTCTAAGGGGCTGAAACCATGGTGAAACTATCCCTCAAATATTAAAATATTTTTTATTTAAAAACCGGTGAGTTTTTCGGAAAAAACTCTTAAACACGTATATTTTATTTTGTTGTTTTACATATTTTAAAATTTTTTATAAATTTATACAGGGTGTTTCATAAAACATGACCATTGAATAATCACGATTCTGCTTAAACTGCTTGACGTTTAAAGCTGATTTTTGGCAAACGGATTGACTGTGGGGTGTAGAGGTTCGATAAGGAGGGGTTTCTCGAATCTCAAATTCCAAGAGGGTGAAAACGCCCCTCAAATATTACAATATTTGCTATTTGAAAAACAGTTAGTCTTTCGGGAAAACGCTTGGATAAGCATAATTTATTTGTTTTTTTTACATATTTTGAAATTTTTTAAAAAATCATACAGGGTGTTCCAAAAAGTTAGGTAATTTCTTAACTACGATTCTGCTTAAACTGCTTGTTGTAAAAAGCATATTTTTGGCAAACGGATTTTTCGAAAGTCAAATTCCAATGAGATGTATTTGACTAAGCTGATTGCCCTCGCTCCACTGCGGCCGCGAGGGCCTATTGTGGCTCCAACGAGATGAAACTACCCCTCAAATATTGCCAAGTTATATAATAATATCGCCATATTGTTTTTTCTCATGCTGACAAATGTGAGAAAATTTTATCCAGTTTGTATGTTAATGGAAATTCTTGCTTTGCTTTATCCTCACCATTACAAATGATTAATTCGACGCGAACGAAGTCGCTGGTACACGCTAGTTTTTTTATAATTTTGTTTTCATAATGGGTTATACTTATGATTTCCATGGAGTTCCGCTTTTAATTTAATAAAATTAAAATCACTAATGTATGTGTAAAAAAATCAGCTTTCCTGCCCTTTTTTTGAAATAGTCCTTTATTTGCAAGGAGTCGCCACTAATTTCTGTAACAGTTCTCTAATATCAAGAAAGTATTTTTTTTAGTTTTAAGAAGACAGATTTTCTAAATTATGAATTTCTAAGTTTATTACAAGCTTTTTTTCATAAATTATTGACAGTAGAAAAAAATTCAAATGGCTGTGCTGGGTGTAAATGACACTCTTTTGCGCTTCACGAAAGATGCGAACTGTATCAATTTTCAGTAACGCTGGCCCTACTCTAGTTGAATAGAAAAATTTATATTTTATTTAAAATTTATTTTATTTAAAATTAGCTCTACAAATGTAATAAGAATAACAGTGTGTGGATAAACATATAAAAAAATGAATCTGGATTTTTTTCAAGCTAAACATAGCATTTTGCCGTGTGTGTGACGCGACGGTGCATAAATGGTTTCTTAGAATTGAAGGATTTGAAAATATTCAAAAAAAGTTGAAAAAAGCAAAATTTTACTAGTCGTTTATTTACTTACTGTTTCTGAGGGGAAACATGTTATTTTTATTAACGCCTTTATTTTTTTTTTCGGCTGGTTATAATTTAATGTACTGACCAAACGCCAAAATTTTCGAAGTGAATTCCGCGGTTAATTTCAACGTTAACACCTAAAAAATTAACCATGTATTTTTTTTTCCTTTACTTGGGTATGAGGTTTTTTTCTGTTTGATTAGCAACAGAGTGGTGCTAGCAAGGCGACTTCAAGAATAAAGTGCCTGCAAAAGCCCACTATGTTGGAGCGAAACGTCGCATAAAAAAAAGTTTCCATCTTTCAATTTATTTAAAAAAAACCTCATACCCAAGAAAAGGAAAAAAATATATGGATATTATCTAAAGGTTTAAGAACTTAAAAACAATTAAACTATTACTTAAAAATTATTTAGAATCATAAAAAAATGCTACTCCTAACCTAACCTAACCATCTAAAAACACACGGATTTTGATAGTTAGATATATTAACCATTTCTAAACTAAAGTTTCTGCATATTTAAAGCAGAAAAACCAAGGTATAAATATAATTTTCTTTTCATTTTCTAGCAAGAAGTCCAGTCTTTTCTCATCTTAACGCTACCTTACAAGGAATAACCACTATCAGAGCCTTCAAAGCGCAAAGTATACTCACAAAAGAATTCGATAACCATCAAGACTTACATAGTTCTGCTTGGTTCTCTTTTATTTCAACTTCACGAGCTTTCGGATATTATTTAGACGTGGTCTGCATTTTCTACATCACATTGGTCACGTTCAGTTTCCTTTTAATCGGCAACGGTATTTTTTACCTTAGTTTCTACTAATTTTTTTATTAAATCTTTGTTTATTGGACAGAAAAATACGGTGGAAACGTTGGTTTGGCGATAACTCAAGCGATTGGTTTGACTGGTATGTTCCAGTGGGGTATGAGACAGTCTACGGAGCTTGAAAACCAGATGACGTCAGTTGAACGGGTTGTTGAATACAGTTCTATAGAACACGAGGCTGAATTGGAATCGAAACCTGGGAAAAAGCCGCCAGAAACGTGGCCAACTGTTGGTCAAATTGAATTTAAAAATGTTTGTTTAAGGTAATTTATTAATAAGAAAATAATTTTGGACATAATTATTTAAGTAGTTGAACTTTTGTTATCTTTTTGAGCTAAAACATCCAGGAATGATAGTGAGCGGTTGGCATCTATTTTGACAGTATTATCCTAAAATGACTAATTAGAGACAGGTCATTATTTCACGATCTGTTATTTTACAACTGTTATTTATATCCTAGTAACAATTCACAACTGTTAATAACTTCAAATAAATAACTATTATGAAAATAACAGTACTGTGATAGTAACGTAACAGTTCTCAAAAGTTGCTGCTTCAAAAAATAACAGTTTTGAGAATAACAGTAAGCTTGAAAGTGAACTAAGACAGTGAAGTAACAGTTCACAACAGTTGACACTTCTAAAAAGTAACAGTCATAAAAATAGTAGTACCCTGACAACGTTGTAACAGGCCACAACAGTTTTTTTATGTGCAATAGTATAACAGTTATGAAAATATTACTGGGATAGCGACGTAAGCATTCTCAAAAATTGCTACTTCCAAAAAAATAACAGTTTTGAGAATAACAGTAAGCTTTGACATTGAAATAAGACAGTGACTTAACAATTCACCACTGTTGATACTTATAAAAAATAACAGTATCCTGACAATGGTGTAACAGTTTACAACAGTTTTTTTCGTGCACTTGAACAACAGTTATGAAAATAACAGTACTGCGATAGCGCCGTTATGGTCCCCAAAAGTAGCTACTTGAGTCCAATAGAACAATAGAATAACTAATTAAAATAATGTACGGTGATAGAGATGTAACGATTATCAAGTTGCTACTTCCAAAAAATAACAGTTATGAAAATATCAGGATTTTTCCCAAAAAAAGTGTACAAAAATGAAATTTTAGGTTTTCTTAAAGCTCCTTTCTATACGGAGTTTCTATACCTGTCTTACTTGAGTTAGGAATTACTTGTTGTTTTAGGTACTTCCCCAATGACCCTCCAGTATTAAGAGATCTTGCGTTTCTCATCAAACCGCGAGAAAAAATTGGAATTGTCGGTAGAACAGGCGCCGGAAAATCATCTATTATTAACGCATTGTTTCGGCTCACTGACACGACAGGGTCTGTTATTGTAGACAGCATTGATATAGCAGAAATCGGTGAGTAGAGCAAACAACAGACAAAAAGATTAATAATAACAGTTCATCGTGACTCACTTAAAATAATTTCTAAGTGGAAAGGAGAATGTTTCATAAAAATGGTTGAATATCGAAAAAAGTGATGCTACTTTATATTGTGCGTAAAATCACTTTTTCCCCCATATAGAAATATTTAGTACCTAGGTTTAATGCAAGCTTTTATCTTTATAGGACTTCACGATTTGCGTTCAAAAATCTCGATTATACCTCAAGAACCTGTGCTGTTTTCGGGTACCATGCGCAAGAATCTCGATCCTTTTGACGAATACAGCGACAACGATTTGTGGAAAGCCCTAGAAGATGTTGAACTGAAAGAAGCCATTCAAGAGCTGAATGCTGGACTGAATTCTCAGATGTCAGAAGGTAAGTCACACTCACTGAATAAAGACTAAGAAAGGAGTGCTCTCTAGTAATAAATTTTGTACAAAGCTATATTATTTCTTGTTGTTTGTCATTTGCAGGTGGGTCTAACTTTAGTGTAGGTCAGCGCCAGTTGGTATGTCTATCCAGAGCTATTTTACGTAATAACCGGATCCTGGTAATGGATGAGGCAACGGCGAATGTCGATCCACAAACGGATGCTTTGATCCAGCACACTATAAGAAGAAAGTTCGCCGATTGTACGGTACTAACAATTGCCCACAGGTAAGACCTAAAATATCCCCCGTTACGTCATAGGTTGCCCTACTATTTCTTTCAGGTGAAAACAGTTTCAAATAAATTCTAGATGTTATTACGGCATATTGTTTGTAGTAATTGGTCATTTCTCTTTTTTGTCTATGATTCTATTGACAGATAGTGTCGATCAGTGTAGAAATTAAAAATCAACTGCGTTGTGAAACAAAATTCAAATCCGTTTGTTAACTAAAAGTGTCATGGGCATAAATGTAACGACAATTTGACTCGAAATACCAAGTATGTGGTACCAAATTATTCGTAAAAAATACTTTTTCCAAATATACTAATGAGCCACCCTGGTTCCATTTGAAAAAATTGAGTTATCGCTAAAAATACATTAAAATGCGCTTTGATCATCTTTTAACTGGCCAGGAAAAGACACGAAAAACATTAAACGATCTAAAATATTTTTGCAAAGCTTCTTGATTAAAAATTAATGGTTTTCACACAGCCATATGGGACACTAGATTGGACTTTAAATGCAATTTTTTGTGTCAGGAAATGTGGTAACGGCAGTGTTGTCACAGGCCACAGCTACCCCACTCGGGGTATATGATCTATCCTTTTGTAAATAAAATTAACTCACTCTGGGTAACGATCTGTGCCATACGCGGCTCAGAAAAATCAGTATATCATCTGATCTTCCAAACCAATATCACCTGGTTGTATGCTAGAAAGTAAATTTTCATGCATATTTTCATCGATAGGTTTGTAGCTTCTGAATAACGGTCTAGATAAAGCATCTAGCTCAGAATTAGAATTATTAGAATTAATCAACTCGCATTTTCATTGGAGGACATTGTCATATTTATTTCAATCCAATAATCAACGAGAATATTGGTCTAATTTAACAAAATTACTATAAACCACTATAAATACGAATTGTTGGTTAGGTCCAAAAATTTTTCTCTTATAAATAAATTTAACCGTTAAACATTTTTAGGCATTTACATAAAACTTTGTATTTTGGAAGGTATTCCGCAAAATTTGCAGGTTATTGAGGAAACAGAAAATCAACGATAGAGTAAAGTCTATTATCTCATTTGTTTCGAGATTTACCAAAAAATGTTAAATGCAAAAGTTATAGGGAAGGTTAAAATACACATTTTAAAATTGTTATAGAGTATACAGAGTGCTTCAAAAAAGTGTGGCGAATATAACATATGTTTTTTTAAATGCAATACCCTACTTTTTATTTCATTTTTAGGTTCTGCGTAAAATTCCATAACTTTTTTATGTAAAATGTTATATACCTAAAATTAATAGTTTTTGTAATATTTAAATTTGTTTAAACAAATGTTAAATTGCAGTGTGGTAGAAAATTATCAGTGGTATCATTGTTTCTGAAGTTGGAATACCAAAATTTTGTATGAGAGTTATATAGAGATGAAAAAAAAGATATATGTAAAGATATTTTAGTTAAATGCTACAGGGTGTTCAACATATATTTATGAATTTCAACTACTTAAAATTAAAAAATCTCAATTTTTTTAAATGGTACACCCTATATGTTTTCATTTTTTCTGATAGATTTTGCAAAGCTGTTCAACTTTTATTAAGTATGTCATCTACCTATTTTTAATAGTTTGCGATTTATTCCAATTTTTTTCTATTTTTAGCCATATTTTTAATACATTTACGCTATAACATCTAAGTTGCCGTGACAAAACAAAAATATTTATTACTTATCTTTAAGAAGTAGTTTAATAATTAGTTACAATTGTTATTATTAGTTAAAATTAATTAACTTTACACAAATAAACTAAAATCGTAGTCGTAAATTTCTTGGTGTATTTCTATATTTTGAAAGATGACACTTGGATTTTCCGCCGGGGCGAATAGCCACAGATTAGAGTAATACTAATTGTTGACGACTACTGATATAGGAATTTTCTTCGACATACAGTAAATTTTTCTTTCTCGTAGTAATTCTGGTTTATAATTCACATCGTAAAGCCAATAATACTACTGCCGCGAAACCGTCCCATTACACACTGAAAATTATTTTTCAGTGTGTATCGTTTTCATTTATACTATTCCTATAGTATTTAGCAAAGCACTGTATAATATATAGCACTAAATCAAAAAAAAATGTTTATCTTGGCTTGTTCGTGTATATTAGTCACATAAATATTGACTAATTCATTTTCGGGAAAATCTGTAACTATTATCTCTACCTTCTATAATTTATACTTATTACAACAAATTAAACTTCTTGTTCTTAACTTGCTTAACAGACGTATGACATTTTAATAATTATTATTTTTTGTCATAGCAACTATGATGTAGCCGTAATTGTATTAAAGATATGGTTATGGTAAAAATATAAAAATTCAGAATAAATCGCAAACTATTAAAAATAGGTATATGACATACTTAAAAAAAGTTGAAGAGCTTTGCAAAATCTATCAGAAAAAATGAAAATATACTATAGGGTGTACCATTTAAATAAATTGAGATTTTTTAATTTCAAGTAGTTAAAATTCATAAATATATTTTGAACACCCTGTAGCATTTAACTAAAATATCTTTTTTTTCATCTCTATAAAACTTTCATACCAAATTTTGGTATTCCAACTTCAGAAACAATGGTACCACTGACAATTTTTTGCCACACTGCAATTTAACATTTGTTAAAACAAATTTGAATATTACAAAAACTATTAATTTTAAGTATATAATATTATACATAAAAAAGCTATGGAATTTTACACAGAATCTAAAAATGAAATAAAAAATAGGGTGTTGCATTTAAAAAAACATATGTTATATCCGCTACACTTTTTTGAAGCACCTTGTATACTCTGTAATTATTTTAAAATGTGTATCTTAACCTTCCCTATAACTTTTATATTTAACATTTTTGTGTAAACCTCGAAACAAATGAGATAATGAGCTTTACTCTATCGTTGACTCACCCTGCACAGATTACAGAAATAAATTGAAAATAATATTTATATTAAAACAGCATTATATGTCACTTTTTTAAACATATTTTTCAAGTCTGAAAATATCAAAAGTTCATATATGATATTTCATTCTATTCACGTCATTTTTTATATAAAGTAAAAAAAATACCTGGGGACCATTTGAAAATAAATTTTATTATCCGTTGAAACAGGAAGTTATCGAAAGTAATTTTGAGTACCGTCAATCGATTCCGATTTATGTCATAAACTACCATACCAAATTTCGTTTTTTATCTGTAAAAATAAAACAGTTATAGGGGGTGAGCCACTTTTGAAAAACACCCTGTAATAGGAATCACCCTGTATAATTTCTAATTATATGTTTTTTAGATTGCATACCGTGATGGACTCGGATAAGGTACTAGTTATGGATGCAGGAACGATGAAAGAGTTCGATCATCCCTTTATTTTACTTGAGAATCAAAACGGTATTTTATACGGTATGGTACAGCAAACTGGTCGTACCATGGCTGCCAATTTATACGAAGTTGCCAAAGAAAACTACAACCAACGAACAGCACGATAGTCAAGTCAATTTTTTGTTCTTATTACTATAGTTTCACTATAAAAATTTACATATTTTTTTATTAGATATAGCCTTAAACGTGCAACACTATTTTTGTAATTTTTAATCATTTGTCTTTTTTAAATGTACAACGTTTGTTATGTAATGTTTAATTGAAAATAATAAAGCTTTATATATGGATTTGTTATTATTAAACCTTTTTACTCTTTGGCTACGTTATTTCTTCTATACTGACTAGAGATTTTTTGTTTAATGATTTTAATTTTATTTTTTGTGATTTATAATACCAATATTTCAGTAAATCGGCTATAAAACAAATATAAAGTAAATAAATAAAAATAAAAAAGTGTAGGTTCCACCGAGATTTGAACTCGGATCGCTGGATTCAAAGTCCAGAGTGCTAACCATTACACCATGGAACCTCTTGACTGAAGATTTAAAACGTACAAGACCTATTAACCTCGTTTTAAATCCCAATGGTAAATTTGGAATTTTTATATTGAAAAGCATCATAATAATTTTGAATATAATCTTGTTTCAATATCAATAAGAGGATATATTCGATATTATAAATCGAAGCAGATTTAAATGCTCTTTCAAACTATATTAGGGTTTCCTATACCTATAATATCTAGCTCAGATTTTGAATAAAGAGCAAATTTGCAATCTTTGAATAAGAAGTTTGCAATAAAGTGGCAACCAAGAGGGCTAGTGTCAGAGACTATATAGTGTCGTCATGGCAAGTTTCTAGTGACAGTTAGAAGCAATTTTCAAAATTGAAATTAGTTTATATGGACTTATTTAAATTTATACCAATTTACTTTTTTTTAATTTACCCCTATAATAGTTTAATAAATAATATTGATTAAATATGTATATTATTCTATCAAGAAAAACGAAGAAGTAGTTCTTTGATTTATTTTACGGTGACTTGTATAGATATATGGATTTTCTATAGAGAGCCAATTACGATAAATTGTAAATTCATTTTCTTCGCTTCCAAAGACAGGTTTTTGCCTAATAGGTTTTTTATAAACAATATAAACCACACAACGAGCTCTTTTTTTAGTAACATATCCATCGTTCCGCCAGCAGATACTGCTTTATTTTTCTTGATAAAATAATAAATACTTACTTAATAAACTATTGTAAGTAAATTTAAGTAACCTGTTATAAATTATAAATAATAATGTCCATAAGTTAAAGTCGATTTTGAAAATAGTTACTAACTGTCACTAGAAAATTGCTATAGCAACACCAACCATCTTGATTGCCATTTTATTTATAAATCGCTTTTTATTCAAAATCTGAGCTAGATAGGTATAGGAAACCCTAATATAGTTTGAAAGAGCATTTGAATCTGCTTCGATTTATTAAAAAAATACAGGGTGTTGCATTTGAAATAACGAAGTTTTTATATAAAATAAATCCTTAAAATAGATCAGCAATTTTTGGTACCCCTGTATAAATTTAAGG